CGAACCTGACATGAAAAAAAATAATTTGTAGATCCCATTTCATTAATAAAAACATATCTTCACTTCTTCCGTAATGTAGACATAGTTCTAATGACTCGCTTTTGCAATTTTCGAAATTTAAAAAGTTTGAACAAAAATCGGACCAGCCAAATTTTTATTAGTGTATTCGAGTAAAAGAATAGAAGAACGATATCGAGCGATTTTTAAGAAAACTTCCTACGACCACGTAAAGTACCTCTATCTTCCTATGGATCTTCCTACCTTAACTATCTTCCGCAATGGATACGAGAAGGTATTTAAAACTTTTTTTAGAAGTAATAAAAGCCGCAAAAGAATTTTGGGAGACTCCAGATTCATTACGTGTAGCATTGATGTGTCCTACGATTCGACGAATAGCGGCCGCGTCGAGCTCACACATGACCATTACGTGTTCCTTAATTGTCACGGCTCATCTACAACGACTGGAGATTGCTTTCTACGAAAAGGTACGCCCGGAATTATCGCGAACTCTCAAGGTCATACACAACGCAGTTCGTTTTCATTACGAAGTTAATAATAAACAAATGTCAATACATTAGTAAAAACCTCCGAACGTCTGCTATCGATCAAAGCAGCATTTCCATACTTTACGCTCACAGAAAAAAATGTGGTTACAGAACGCAGCGTTGCCACATTTCGAAAGCGAAAAAAGTACGCAGTTCCGAGCTAAAAATCTTCGTAAACCAAGCCGCACGTCAATAGCAGGAAGCACACCACCGCTTCGCGCCGCGTATGACCGCAGGCCACTACACATTACAGGCCGTACCGAGAAGCTGAACGAGCGCTTGACAACAGATCGTATCAAAACGTGAAGCAACCAAAAAGGAAGCCCACGAGGCGACGGCAGCAGCGGCGGCGGCGGCGGGTGAACCGCGAGCGGGGCGAGCACCCACTTCTCGCGGGAGTCCGCCGCCGCACCACTACCAGCGCGCGGTTCTGTGCTGCAAGCTCCCGCCGCCCCTCCTCCTGGCGCAGCCACCGCGCACCCTCCGGCCGAGGTCGCGCGGGAAAGCGGCGGCGGCTGCTCCGGGGCGCCGCGACGGCGGTGGCGCGGGCGGCCGCGACCCCCTTCAACGGCGCCGGGCTGCGCCGCGCAGCATCGCGTCGCGTCGCACCGCCCAGTCCCCTCCGCGCGCCAGCGAGGGGGTGAGCGCGCTTGCTCGTCCGCCCGCGCTCCCAGAAACAAGCGCGAGGCCGGAGCCGCGCGCGGTGGCGATGGAGACGGCGGCGGCGGGACGTCTCGAATCAATCGCGGCGGGCGAGGACGGCCGCGGCAACAGCGAACGCGCGCGGCTGAGCTGACCCACGACGCTGCGTTTCGCACACAAAGCGCGTCGCCCGAAAGTGCAACCGCACGGCACACGTGACACGCTTCACACAAGCAGCTTCAAAAGAGGGGAGACAGGTACACTAATTTTAATGCCAAAATTAGGGATATTTTAATACCACTCCATCCTACGAAAACACACTCCACGATATTTCGTCTAATATTTCCCAACTACAAGTATTTCGTCTAACTCAAGTTACCACTATTTCACAGATCTTCCAGCTGACTATGGAAACTGTTGGTTTCGTTTCTTTCCCCAGTTTCTCAACAACGGAATTTCGTCGTGCGCATCCCACCAGACTAAAATTTACACTTTGTAGTGGGAAACTGTAAGGCAGGGATGCACATCGAAGCACGAGAAGCGCGCGCGCATGTGGGGGGGGGGGAGGAACGTCAAAATCTTAATAGACATCTAGTACCACAAAAAATACGAAGAAGGCAATTTCAGGCTAATATAGAATGTAGTTTCTTTAAAATTGTATTAGAAAAAAATAATATTCTAAGAGAAAGAAGCATGTCAATTATTCTCGAATTATATCCTGTTCCATTCTACTATTATATTAATTTGAAAGGAATGTGAGGACTAAATTTATTCGAGAGGAGTTGCACATGTGACAAACTACGTAAAAATGTTAGACAAGTAATTCTATGCTGAAGTTCATAATAATAATATTAATTTTCTCGTTATTGGTTACTGACGATATATTTCGGGCCCTAGTTTACCCCCAATCACTAAAACAAAGATAAGAATGTATAATAGAAGTGCGTGTGTAGTGGATGGAATTCGTTTTCCGACCAGAAGCAAACAAAGGACCGCCTCTGCGGGACAGCGGGCAAAAAACCGCGATCGAGGCGGGACATGTTTTGCATCGTGGGCCGAGCGGAGCAGCGGCAAAGCGCCGGCGGCGCTGCGCGGAGCCGAGCCGTGCCGCGATGACGCACGCGGCAGGGCCGGGCCGGGCTCGCGAGAAACGCGGCGTTCGCGGAAGCCCCCGCCGCCGTGCGCGCGCGCGCTGGGCTGGCTGGGTCGGCGGACGCGCGACGTCCGGGGCCGCGGGGGCGGACGCGGCCGCACGGCACGGCCACGGCAGCAGCAGCGGCAGCGGCGTTGCGCTGGCCTCCGCAGGCCCCGTCCCCGTCCGTCCTCTCCTGGCCGGGCAACCCGCGTGCCTCCTGCAGCGCGGCTCACTCGCCGCCGCCCCTCTCCCCCTGCGCCGCGCACGAGGCAGAGGCAGGTTGACACACGCGGCGGCGGCGGTGGAGGCGGCGGCGGCAGCGTGAAGGAACGAAGGGGGAGGGGGCCGGCCGAAATGGCAACCTGGCGAGACGGCACGGCACGGGACGGGGGCCCGCCGCCGCTGCCGGAAAGCAAACAGGCGAGCCAGCGAGCGAACGGAGGATTTCAGGTGCAACGCGCCCACCTCGCTTTTGTGGTAGAAAGCGAAACCTGCGGCGCGGCGCGCGCAGCGTACTACAGGCCGCACGCGAGCTCCGCTCCACTCAGGCTCTCTCCCCTCCGCTGCCCCCCGGCGAAGGACGCGCGCTGCCCCCAGCACGGCGCGCACACACCCACGTCGTGCGGACGGGGCCGCGGCCGCCTGCCTGCCCTTCGCTGGCGCGCCTGACTCACGGCCCGCGGGGCCGTCCCGACCCGCCTCGGCCCGGCCACGGGGCAAACGGCCCCGCTCCGCTCGGGCACGGAGGCGCGCTTGACGACAACGGCGCCCGCCCGCCCGTCCACCCGCCCGCGCGCAAAAATGCAGCCGCCTAAAGGGGCAGATCAATAAAAACTGCCCTGGACCTGTTGATCTGTTGGGCTCGTTTGCAACACAGCGACCTGCACCGCTTCTATACCAACAAGTGGACGCGTCTGGGCACAAGGGCCCTTCTCTGGTCGACCCGGGGCATACCATCGTTGCATGGTTACGAGAAATGCGATAGTTCTTTCCCACTCACAGAAATATAAAAACATCTAATATATTTGCAGCAAAGCTTGCTTTGTTTCGGAAATAAAATATATCTCGTTAACTGAATTCATGTTTAGATGTGAGGAAAGCTACTGTCCGGAATGAAAATACTAACTAAACACTACTGGCCTGACTCAAAATAAGTGACCATTTCAGTATTTCCCCTACGAGCGCACCGTTGGTCGAACTGGGGATTTAAACAAATCATGTAAGAAAAAAATATAAATCGAATATTCTGAATATCGTCCAAAATCATCTGTGGTCATTTAGGGTCAACATGGATGGAAAGCAGGAGAAGAAATCATCAAATAGTTTTAACACATAATGGACAATGAAATAATACATTCGATTCCAACACCATCAATATCCACCAAAAAAACCTACATAACTAACGAGAATTGATAGTGTACACAGTTGGACAAAGAAAAAGTCATCAAAATTTGAAAGGTAAACATCTTTTTATTTCAAACCTACATCATTAGAGTAATATTCAACAAAGAAAAAGTCTATCTTCAACATTTCAAAATTAAGGAATTCAAATAATGATAATAATTAAAGAGCATAAACAATAGATTTCAAATATTGCAATTCAATTGAGTAATTTTTGAAATACTTTCTCTAATGAAAATGATCAAGTACTGATTAATATGTCACTAGAGAATTCTCTGAATACCAGATACCTCAACTTGTAAAGAGTATTAGGTTCATTAACCTATTCTAAGTCTCAAAAGTAAACGTTATGTTTTCTGTTCATTGGGGAAATTATTAGTTTACAAAAAATATTCTATGTTTACATTGGAACTTCAATTTTCCAAATTGCAGCACACCACTACCTTGGCAACAAAAACTGAAGTCAATAATTACAAGTAGGCATGCTAGACCAGCTTCGAACCCTGAACAATACTACAATAACATTTCATGTTCATTCTACAATCTCTCTTCTATAATTTGCAGATACTAGGTATTTGGCAAAATATAACCTAATCACTAGTAGTCATGAAATTGACCCCTACTAATTATACAGCGGCTGTTTACACTACAATCAATAGACAAATGACTACAAAGACCTAGTTGACTAAAAGATTCTTGATTAAGGCCAAGACAAAAGCGAACACACAAACTTAAAAAATAATAAGCATTTAACACTGAACACCAGTTTCAATAGAACGACATTTATTGCTGTCACTATATCAGGCATGCGAAAAAATATAGTTTTCTACTAGAAAATAAAAGTAGTAGCTAGTGTCAAGGGAAAGTAAGAATTCGTAACCGCAGAAACTACACAACAATTCCGCGAGTCCTAACATATTATACAAATTGTATGTGAAAGCACCTATCATGCAGAAACAAATTATCAAAGAGAATAAAAGATCACAACTTATCACACCACTGTCTACACGTTCTCACTAAACTTCTGATGTAAGCAATACAATTAAGAACTTTGTAAATACATTACGATACTAACCTTGGCAAAACACAGCTTGAAGACGTATCTCGAATCTGCACGGAGGAAATGATCTACGGGAGCAACTACTACAAAGACTCATCGTAGTATTTCCCCCTCCGTTGTCACAAGGCTGTATATAAACATTTTAGTTTCTATGCATGCTTCGTCCGCCACAGAAATCATATCAACGTAGCACTCACACAACTCGAATTGAAATTACCTCAGTATTCCATAGTCTAATTTTTACACTTCGCTTAGCATCCAAAATCGTGACATCTCTCACTATCACATGAACATCCACAACCATCATAACATCTCCTGCTTCCCCTACCAAGCATCAACCCTAACCCTAAAACGGTGGTGAATGAAGACTTGCTAAGGATGGACGCTATTGGAGGCTTGCGGGTCACGTGCTCGATGTCGTATCAACGAGTGACGGTGATTGGTAACCACCGAACCTCCATCTGCTTCGTATAGAATCATTGGAATCGTGGGAATGGTGGAAAAGAGACAAGTTGTTTTTTGATTTTTGTGTCTCGATTTATTTCCTGGCGCTCTCACAGCTACCTCAGTGAGCGTCAGGTAATTTAATAATCACTCAACAATTGCAAATACTTTACACCGTTATCTGTTAAGGAGGCCAATTTCCTTGTTTCATAATTAAATCTCGCCACTCATAGCCAAAATACATTCCACATATTGAGTTAAAAGCAAAAACGTACAGGAGTTATTCAGGATTTTTGCAATGTAGGATTGATTTACTGTGGATGCAATACGATGAGCAGATGCGCCTACTTGATCGCAGTACATCCACTATGCTTACTGAATTAAAAAAAAAAAAAACGCTGATATACGGGAAAAACATTTATTACAAAGCTGTTTCTAAAATTATGGTGTGTTACTATTATACTGTAGTGAAATGTCAACATGATAAGAGAATTGTGAAATTACGTGTCAGCATGCCGTAAAGTCTTTCTGGTCAAGAACCTTGTGAAATTTAAAACTAAATCCCAGAGCACCAGTCTTTCCTTGATCTTACAAAAGAATTACATGATGTACCAGCAGGTACCTTTGAGTAGTATAATACTTTATCACAAGTTATCCTCACGATAAAGAGGTTTACAAACACAAGTGATCCAAACAGGATTCACAATGATTCGTTGATTATACATTTAATGCTACAATATAGTTTCTTTAAAAAAGGAAAGATCTATACATCACAGGTTCTCATATTAAAATAGATGAATACAGCAAAGAACAGCACGAATTGGTATTGTACTACCACATGGTGGTAATAAATTAATTTCATATATGCACTAAGTACATTTTTGCAACATTTAAAACACAATTTCTTTTATTTACAATAATATACAAAAGTACTCTTTAAAAGCACATCATATTAAAAGCATTAACTTTCGGAAGCTTGTAGTATCTTCCTTGTTTTGCAGTAATGCTTATAATATCAAACTATATCTATACTACAAGTAATTCAGTTTGAAAGATACCCTCAGAGCTTCCATAAATTACGTACTTTTTTCAGTGCAAGAGCAGTACCACACATAATACTACATAATAAAATTATATTAAATGCAGCCTGTTTTGTTTCATAATTATCACAATATAGAATATACCAACATTTTTCTCACTAAAAATGAAAAGTTTTTTTTTAATATATCCACATGTTGTACAGCATCTCCTTACTATACTTCATGAAACAGCTGGAATGGCACCAACATCATGTTAACGATAAAAATTAGCTTTTCATTTAGAGACCCCATACATTTACATATTAATATATCACATTAATTTAATTTCAGTACAATTCAGAATTGTTTCAAATGCATGTAAAGTCATCACATATTATAAAAATTATACAATGTGCTTTTTTCTTTACAATAAAATATAACACAAAAAGAAATGTACATATTTCAAATGTCAATAATACTTAATGGATTGGAGATAAAGATATGTCTACCTACTATGCAATTATAAAAATTCTTAAAACTACAATTTTTTTCACATGCACTTGAATACATTTCAATTTACAAAAATATGCATCATTATTGGAAAACTTTCATTACACAAGTCGGGTCTTATTGAACTTCTGCTGCCATTCACAACATATTAACATTGTTCCTACTTCACCAGAGCCCTGCTATCAGCTGAGTCCAGTATCTGTACACATCTATATTCAATCCTTCCAAGGACTTTGACATGAGACTTATATACACTCAATGAAACAAAGAAACCCTTTTCCTAGGCTCTTTTTATAATAATATAATAACATAAAAGTTACTTTAAAAATCAACAAATAATAAAAAAGACAGTTTTGAATAAAAACAAGTTAAAACATTATTTGATTTACTACCGGTTTTGTAAATGCAATCACTTCAATTTTATCAAACATTACAATTATTAATTGATATGTTCTATATTGTCTGAATAAACAATATCAACACAAATTACTACATTATTTACAAACAGAGAGAGTACCAAGAAAAGGGCCTTTCCTATACAACATGTTTCTGCTGACATGCAAGTCTTCATGCAGAATATAACATAAAATAGCATTTAAATAACTATTTTTTGGTGATTAATGTTTCAAAGATATTGCCAAAATATGTTCCCCAAAAGTTGTTTTACTGGCCTCCAGGTCTACACCTTTCACATTTTTGCTCCACAAAAATAATTGCTAGATTGTCGAGAAATCACAATATATATTTAAACATCACTCTTGACACCTTTTTAATACAATTATGTGTGATTCTATTGAGGGAAGCTTTAGAAGTAATGAAATATTTAGAGTACAACACAGGTGAATAATGCATGTGTATGAGTAAAGTATATACCAGTATCTTTGTTTACTATGTGATGTATCTGTATTAAGCTTCTGCGAGTGCAAAATGTTAGCGAGTTCACTATTGACAGTAAATATAAATTATACACAAGTCTTATTTGGGATGAATTAATAACATATGAAGGTGAAATTCATAAATTGAAACAGGTCATAGCAACTGTATATTGTATAGTCTGTAATATGGACTTGAGATATATATTAAAAGGGTCATCCAACTACATTTTAATAAATGTCGTAAACATTACAGATGCAATATCCACATATCTTGTCACATATACACATTCCTCTAGCAATTAACTGTATATATAATATATTGTTGTCAGAAAATTAACGTTCAAATGACCATTGGCTATTGTACGAGTAAAACATGCACACAGAACGAAAATATTATAGTCACTTGCCATGTAACTTTCATATCGTGGCATCATGTGTTAGATGAGCTGTTTTACAAGAGTACCAGGGCCAGAGGAATCCTCTAAAATAAAGGAAGTATACATTCACAAAAAGGGGTTTTCCTCTCCAATCAACCAAGGTAAATATGATTTGAAGACCAACTTGTACCAAGATGGGGGTTTAGTTCAAGTATTTCCGACATTTTCGAGACCCACAAGTACAAGGAATCTTCACATCTTCAAATGGAAACTTGTAGTCATATGTTAATTCCTCTCCTTGAGGTATGCGGCGAAGAGCGAAGATAAGAATATGCTTCTTCCCAAGAATGTCAACTACTCTGGAATAGCAGTTTGGCTGCAACAAAATGAATAAGATGGTTGTTCAAATTTGTTGAATACATTTATTTTAAATACAGATTTTTTTATCATATTTTATAATATAACAAAACTTTTATAGTTGTTGAAACAGTAATTTAATAAGGATATTTATGACATTTTAATTTCTTAATTACGGTAATTATAAACATTATCAATGAACATTATCATACTATATTCCCCCAATGAATAAAGTTACTCCAAGCTTGCCAAAAAGAGAGTTCATATCCTTTAATCCTTTCACAAGTTCATTGATAATGACAATTCACCTCACGTGTTAGGTTCTCAGTAATAACTAATTTCCCAAAATAAAGACTGGTTTCAGATGTTTTATATGTGACACTTAAGAAAATGTAAGCACGTGTTTTATCTAGTGTCAGGTTACAATAATGATTGTGATTGTGATAAAGACTTTTGCCAAAGTTGAAAAGAGATGGCAAAAGAGAAAGCAAACAGTACACCCAAAAGTAATTTAAGTGCTTTAGCACTTAAATTAGCTTAAACACCAAGCCCAAGTGTGTAAATTATGCTGCACCTAGTATAGATTTTTTGGTTACATATGTGGAAGACTGGAAGTCATCTTTGACTTCATTCATAGGGTCCATACCAAACATGCATACTGCTACTGTGAGTTGTGTTTTGTACTACATATGAGTACAAATATAATTTACTTGAATAGAAAAAGGTTAAAGTCTACTCGTAATGAAGCTGTCTTGTTTATTAAACAATCCCGTTTTTGAAAAAAGTCAAATCCAATTCTTCCGGACAATGCCTTTACTCATCTCGCATTGCCAATAAAGAAGGAAAAGGTAACAAGATGTAAAATTATTATTGCTAGGGACAGAATTTTTTGGTGAATAAAAATTATGTATGTTGGTATAAAAACTGGGCTGAAAGAAGGATAAAAGCAGTAAAAGGAAAAAAACAGATTAATGTAATAAAAACCAATTATTTAATGTGAATTAATGAACCATTACTTGGAAATGGATGTTTATGACTTTAAAATAAAGAAAATGAGCATGCATTTAGGACTTAAAATTTGTGGGAACAAGTTAAACAAACATGATGTAACCAAATATTCTTTTCTGCAGTATTTTTTGTTGATGAAATGAACAAGATTTCAGAATAATACATTTTTGTTAACAAAAATTTTGAAGACCATGATATTCAATTGTGATTTGATTGGAATGCAAACAGTTTGTAATTGAGTGATAAAAATATGAGCTTTACAATGACAGACCAAATTTCACTTCAAAAAAGAATGCAAATTAGATGATCACAGCTCAATTAAGCAAGAGAGATTCACTTACAACAAACAAATTCATTTGATTGCTTATGTTTTGAAATACAGAAATAAGTTGTTGTTGTTGTTTTTGTTTTTTTAATTTATTTATTCCACTAAGAAAAATATGATGTCATAGAATATTGTAAATTAGTGTTAATTTTTCGTTCATAGACTTAGGTTTTGCAGTTAATCGCACACATTAAAGAATGTTACAGCAAAAGGAAACTGTTTAAAATCAATAATATAATATTTTTACTGCATATATACAATTTTTGCATTTCCATGCTCCTAAAAGAATTATGTCTCTAATTTTAGAAAATTTCATTGTTTGATGTCAAGTCAGAAAACAAATGTCAACACACTAAGAATTCTTACTGGGAAGTAGTATTCGTTAAAGAAACTCGAGGAGAAATTAAGTAATCAGATGATCAAAAACTGGTAGCTTGTAAACTGCTCTCTTTCTTTTTTTTACTGCATTTTCTAAAATTACAATCAGACAACACCTATCAGACTGTGAAATGGCTCAATTGATTTATCTCATTAAGAAAAAGTTGAAAAAACTAATACTATAACCCAATATTGAAGCAATGATTTTCACAGATTAATGTGATTAATCTACAAAAAATATCTTAAAATACAAATAATAGTATATTAATATCTGATATAAGAGAGTTAAAAACACTTACCATTTAGATACTAATTACCTTGCATTATTTAATGTTGTGTTTCAATCTAATAGAACTCAGGCTTTATATTTCAAGGAATGCATATGTATAGAATTGTGTCTGATATCAAAAACTAAAAATACACTGTTTCTCATCTTATAGAATGAATATATAGACCTGGGACAAATTTTCTTGATTTTTCCTCAACATCTTCTAATTTTTTCTGACAAAATTAGTTGAGTATTTAACAGTATTATAGGAAATATTAAACAAAAGCAAGTTTGGGATCAATACTAAAATTCCTTTACAAGAGGATCAACGTTGTCCATGGTAACTCGGGTTCTCTTATACTAACATAACGTGACAGATAGAGGCACGATTCAATACAATAATCCCTCTAGCTATCAATTTGCTAGCTCCTGATTTCACATCCAAAAATACCAAAATAACACTATTTTCTTTACAAATGAAAACTGACAAAAATAACAATATAACAATGTTATATGTAGAATAATATCTAGTTTTATAATTACCTCAAAAATGACCCAGACTTTTTATGATATTCCAAAAATTTTAATTTCCCAAAAATATTAATTTCATTAATCTTAAAAAAATAAATTCCATAATCCAACCTTGGAAAATATAAAACATAAGAAACCTACCTCACAGGAGTGGTTGATGAAGCGAGCTGCATTTCCTCGCATTGTTGCATCTACAACCAACTGATCATCAATGCGAAACATATAGCAGCCAATGCCTTTGGATTCATAAAGCTTCTCTCTTTTATCTGTCAGAGTTGATCGGATCACTTCTCCTGCATATTCTATAACCATTTCACCCGCATCTATATCCCGCAAACAGAAAAGACCTCGGCCATGAATGTGAGATCGATATACTCCAACTGCTTCTTTAGAAGTCTCTTTTAAATGCCGGAAACGCATGGCCATTGGCAAATTTGAACTTGTTGCTCGCCTGTTAAAAAAAGATTTATCAGTAACACAATCTTACAGTAAGCAAAATTAACATTTACTAGAAAAATCTGATTATACCTGTTGCTAATGGACTCTCCATCAGCATTTACAATGAACTTTGGAGGCTGCCGATGTCTAGAAGCAAGCCAGCTGAACATGTCATATGGCGAGCGCTTACAGAAAGGTTGTGAACGTGCACTTCCAGTCTTATTCTCTGGGGGCAAGGCATCTATATCCTCTTCAGGGCCTGGGGGATGTTGCTTGTGATACCGAGGTTTGTACTTAATGCATCGTCCTGCACCAGGGAGTTGTTCTACAAGGTATCGCAACCCGTTGTGTTTCAGACCTAACATTTGCAATCCATCCTGGGCACCCATAAAAGGATTTTGGGGCAATGGAGGCATTTTATGAGCAACTCTTGCTTGTTGTACTGCTTCAAACACCTTCTGCCACACCTCAGTAATGTCAGAAGAAGTACAGCAGAAACCGTCCTGGGATCGAATTTCAAATGTAATGGACGGAGGGACATCCTTAGCAGGACAAGTCTCCTTCAAGATAGATAATTTACCATTTGGAATGTATTTGGTTCCATTCAGAGTACCGTTGGGCATATTAGTATTCTGGGAGGGCTGCAAGACTGCAGGGACGAAATGATTTTCTTGATCTTTGCGTTTCTCAACGGGCACTGGTCGCGGCTTGGGCTTTGTATACTTGTTCACTGGATTGGTTGCAACCTGTTTTGAAGTTGACAGAATTCTAACACTCTGATTTGGAGTAACTTTGTAAATTCCATCCTGCGTCTGTTTCTGAAGAACTAATTTGATAGTGTTTGTTTTTGAATTTTGGGGCACACATTTACTGTTTATAACAGGAATAACATTTGTTTTACTATCTACTTCAAATGATGTTTTTTGTATTGCATTGTTCAGTGGCTGAGCAATTTCGACTTTTGGAATGGTTATTTTCTGAGGTGTTGGGAAGGATTTTGTTGGTGTGTTGGCAACAACCTGTTTTCCTGATTCTGTACTGCATACTGTCGAAACAGTTGTCACCACCTTCACTGGTGAACTTGGTTGATGGGAAGAAATTGTCACAGGTGGTGGTGCAGAACTAACAGTGACCACAGTTTTTGAGACAGGTAGTAAAGTATTACTATTTGGTACACAAAAATTGTTAGAAACACTCTGAGGAGGCACTTGTGTCATATAAGAATCACAGTTTCTGGTCAAGGGTATGCAATTATTGCCTTCACTGGGAAACTCTCGCCGGTACCTCCATTGTGTATTAGGTTGATTGGACATTACAGTAGGCTGTGAGCCAGGGAATGGCAAGTTTGAGGCTGAAGGGCAAGGGGATGGCTGGGCAACAGGTGGCACAGGTGGGACTAGTGGAGCAGGAGGTGCAGGCACAGACACAGGCATTTGTGCAGGTGTAGGCACAGACACACGCACAGGTGCAGGCGCAGGTGTAGGTCTAGGTGCAGGAGTAGGTATAGGTGTAGGTACTGGAGCCGGAGCTGGTGGAACTGGAGGAGGGACTGAAGCAGGTGGCGGAGGTTGCTGGGTCACCACTGATGGTGGCTGCGAAGCCATATGAGATGGAAGACTCATGGGCACATGCGTAGGAGCACATGTTACTACTTCAGGATTCCTCATTCTAGCATCAGCGAGTGTTGCCTGAGGATTAACAATCACGAAACCTGATGGAACATCGACAATAGGTTCAAGTTTGCTGGCTTGAAACACTTGTGTTGTTGTAGCAGAGAAACTACTACTGGCTGCCATTACACCTGGAAGGGCACTCGACACTATCTGCTGAGACTGCATCACTGTATTACTAACGATTGTCTCTAATCCAATAAACATTGGCTGACTAGCAACAAACATTCCACCATTTTGATCTGTAAACACCTCCATGCCAGGGGTTGAACCCAAAACCATTTGTTCGGTCGCAACCATACCACACTGAATAGCTGCTGGCTGTGCTTGAGGAATGATGGTACCCAAAACAGTAGGCTGAGAGGGGCTGATCTGCACACTAGGCATAACAGGAATGCTGCTGTTCTGCATTCCTGTGAAACCATCAGCAGAGGTTTGCAACTGGAATGTACCAGGCACCAAGGAGCCTGGAGTTGGTGTAAATATTGGATGCTTCGAATGAGCATCTATTGTAGCTATGTATTGAAGGCTCTGCCCTGTATGTTGCTGGAAGGCTTCTACAAATGCTGGCACAACACTAGGTGATGGCACTTGCTGCACAAACACTGTTGGTTGGGCGGGAGCTTGAGCACAGGGAGTATGCATCATATGCATCTGATATTGTGCACTAGGTGCAGGGGTGGCTGTTGCTGCTGCTGTAACAGTAGGTTGGCAATTTATGTTGCGGGATGTCTGTCTGTGAGAAGTGGCCCTAGCAGATGCTCTCACTCTTGATCGTCCACCAGTTGACCTGGCACGGGTAGATGACGGAACATTTGTTTGAACAGCATGCGGGGGCAATGATGACGGCTGAGCAGATTGTTTTGGAACATCAGAGACTACAGACTGTGGAACAACACTAGCAACAAATTGAGTGTCTGTCCGAGATGTAGTTAATGAACTTTGTGATGATAAAGTGGGCGTTGTCAAAGACGGCACTACTGCTGTTGTTGCAGGTGTCAGTGAAGGTGATTGATGTACTATTTGGGGGGTTGATACATTTGATTCATTGCTGCTTGGAGGAGCCATTGTTTGATGCATGTCAGTATTTGTTTTAGTCGGCAATTCCACTGGGCTTGTTAGTGAACTGTCTTGAGATTCTACACTAACATTTACAGTTGGCAATGAAGGCAATTGTACATCATTTTCATTTTGTACTTTAGGTTCACATATTATTTCTTTCACATCTGCAGAAGCATGGTGATTTACTTGTTTAGGACTATCCTCTTCACTTGAACGAGTGTTTTCAGAATCACTTTCACTTGTAGAAAGAATGAAATCACTACTGCATGTAGGAAGGTGTCGTTCAAAACTTGTTCTTGTTCGATATGTACGATGGCAACGTGCACACCTCACAGGTTCATCATCTCCGTCTTTCTTCAGGAGATTTGGAGGGAGACCTCTTCTCGCAGGTGGGTAAGTCCTCACAAGATTTCTGCTATGATCTTCATCATCATCCTCATCCTCATCATCTTCGTCGTCATCATCCTCATCATCAATTCTGCGGGGAGATTTTCCTCCCTCACTTCCACTAGAAGAATCAACAGCACCATCAAGTTGGAGTATTCTAGCTTGAGATCGTCCATGCCACAAGAGCCACTTATTTTCCTTTCCTTCTTCTTTAGGATGACTGGATTTCCTACGATCTCCCTGGCTTGTTGGACCTTCTTCTTCTAATCGCATCTTAAGCTCACGCACACCTTCAGTGCTAGTAGCTGAAGAGCCGAAGTGCTAGTTTCGCAGGAAGGCTTCCAAGCCCCACTTTTTGAACAGTTCCTTAAGCCAACTTGTAAATATGGGCACGAATATTGCCAATGCCTGTGTCTGCTACTGAATTAATACTACTTTCTTGCTATACGAGATGCCGCACGAGTTGGCTTGGCCGCCGCTTGCTATGGTTGCTGTAAAAAGAACAAAGCAGGCCATCCAATTTAACAACCTCCATGCAATAACTACATGATCTCTGTTGACTTCTGAGCTGCCAGCAGACTTCCTATGAAAGAAGACTGATTATCCCTTCAGAATTTACTTCTCTTCAATTCTCTACTGCTGTATTTTTGGGCATTGGTCTTCATATATAAGGGTGGTATAAGATCTTCTACAAGATGTTGCATTTGTTCCTTTGCTTCTCCACAAGGAAACCAACTTTCAACATGGGGTCCCAACTCCATGACTGAGGTATCTAATTTTTTCCCACGTGTAAGCATTGCAATAGTCTCAACATCTGTGGCAAGAATAACATCCTCTGGCAAATCATCTTTCCCTTCTTTTAAACCATCGGATCCACAAGAACCATCACTTTTTATATCAATTCCCATTGCATCTTCATAACTCATAAGTTTAGGAAAAATGTCTTGCATTGATATTCCATCCAACAAATCATGAGGCAATTCTTCAAATATTGCATCTTTCAAGTCAGGAGGCAAGATATCTGCTGTGTTTTGTGGGTCAGTTAGACAGCTATCATCAACATCTTTACTGCAGATAGTATCAAGGAGATATGTCACCACCTGACGTGCAACATTATCTTCTTCGGTCCTTCGAGGAATATTCTTATTTGCATTAGGAACCAGAGCTTTATCTTTAGCTTTAAGTTGCTCTGGTTCATTATTAACCCATTTTACAGTACAAATATTTTTCCTTCCATGTGAACATGTCAATTCCCGGTGCCACTGAGCTACTTCATTCAATTTTTGCAGTATAACTTCCTGATCATCCGAATGATCTATTGTTACGTTCCAACCTAAATCTTCTGCCTGTTCAGGTAACTGCTGGTTGACAATGGTCTTAACTTGATACTGAACAATCCTCCAGGGTTCCACTGAGGACCAGAAATAACGTGAGCAGCGGAATCCATTAGGAATTATAATGTCTGGATTATCTGAAGCACCAGAAACAAATTCTCCCAAATTTTCCACAAGCAATGAACCTATCATGAATTTCACCTTTTGCACTTGAGAAAACTTTTTCTTCTTTCTGTCAAGTTCTACATAAATTGGACGGCGAACATCAAATTCTGAATCTAGCAGCAAAATTTTCCCAATTGCATCTCGAGCATGTGTGGGGCAGTATACATTTTTGTCATCCATGAAGGTGCATTTTGCCTTTCGAGCACATGGAAAATGATAAGTTTCATTACAGTTTCTGGCACAGCAACCAACACTAGCTCCTCGCTTTTCACACCAAGGGCAACGAATCATGCGACCTCTTGACACAGCACTATGTACATTTTGCAATGATCCATCTATTTCTTCAAACACTTCTGCAGACCACAGAGCACAATTTGTGTGTGCCCATTCATTTTGACCACAATATAAAAGACGACCCTCTTCTGTTGATGGTCCATCCCCAATTCCTTTACATAGCACACACACCCTAACATCAGGTACACATACATCACTATAGAAATAGTTCTGGTCTTTACCAGTAAGCATTTTGGCTACCTTATCTTCTAAAAGTTCCTTTCCAAAGTCATTAAACACTTTATTTTCCTCATTAAATGAATGATCACAGGCATCAACAGATTGTAATTTACTGGGAGACTGACAATAAAAATGGTCTTCATGCATTGGTCGACTGGAAACTCTCGCATATTTTGGATCAAACCATGGAAACACTTCTTGTAAAGTGTGATGATAAGTTTCTAATAACTCTCCAGCCTGTGATCTACTTATGAGACTCTCCATTTCTTGATGGAATTGTAAAAGTGATGAGTATTCACTGGCATTCACTTTCTTTTTAACAGAAAGCAATGTTAAAGAGGGTTTTGACTGAGTAACTTCCAAACAATGACACATTTTGTCTATACAAACATCATTGCTAGCTTCACTCACAGCGCCTTCTGATTCAGATGCAGGATTCTCTTCACCATTGCTGCTGCTGTAGCCAGCTTCACCAACTTCTGTATTGACAGCAGGAAGTTCCGGAAGAGGTGTATTAACAGTCATTTCCTTGCTGCTTTCAATTCCTGCACATGGCTTAAGTTCTTCATCAGTGCTACTAATACCCGAGTCACTACATGGAGTTGAAAGAGAAGCAGGTAAAGACTTGTGAGGCGATTTACCACTTTCACAAAAGCCACCTTCCTGCAACAAGTCATTGCAAGGAACTTCCACTTTGACAGGAAGTAATGTTTTAGCAGATGGCCTTGGTAAAATATCTTCAACTCTTACTGAACATTCCCTAATGTTGTATTTTTCCCAATATAGTTTCAAGGCAGGGTCGACCACAGTACATGTTTTTGAAGGTGTTTCTAGTAAATTTTTGTCAGATACTTGCAGCTCAGTTGCACTTGGAGAAATGTCTACCTGAGAAGAGTCTTGATGAATTCCAGAAATTTCAGATGTTGTTGAAAGGTTAGATACACTACTGCATTTTGTCATTAATAATTCTCCACACTCTCTTGAACTACTTCTGTACTCTGCTTCCTCAGATGCAGTAGGCATTGTGCTGCTGAGCGCAGTGTCTGATATGGAAGCAGGAAGAGTATCTGCAATTGCAGCCATACTTTTATTACAATCATTTTCTATATCATGGGCAACAACTGTTGTTTCATTTGGAGTGTCCATTTCATTATTGGCAACAGTGTCACCAGCCATTGTGATCTCTGTACATTCTATTTTAATCCCTGATTCAGGAGATTCTTTAGTTTCAGCAATATCGTGGAACGTAAGTTGTTTGCCCATTGACGTTCTACATGAGCATTGCTTCTTTGGACTTGATTTCAACATAGCACATGCTTTCCGATTCTTGCTAAGAGATTTCAGAACACTCAAGTACCCTGCCTTTAATTCTTCCTCTACAGCAATCCACCATGGTGCAGGTGGCATTGCACAGCACATCCTGTGAAATAAATTAAGTTTTAAAAATGTTATATTTATTTCTCAATTCATTACATTCACAATAGCCCAGATTACAAAGACACAGGGAAAAAAACATTCCAAAGAGAAGTGAACCTATCTTTAAAATACTGCATAATTTAGAACTATTTTTAATTACACTTTGGTAAAAAAAAAAAAAATCCTAACCTATTTCACGTTCAGGCATTCTCTGCAACATACAGGTAACAAAAGTCAAACTCAATTTAAAGTGAATAATTTATATTTCTGCATATATCTTTATAACATATCTTCAGAATCAGTTGGTTTTGATAAGAATAATAGTTTATAATTAATAAAAATAAATAAACATAATAATTAACTTCCCAAATCTGGCAGTATTCATAAAAATGTGTTAATGCAGTATGTCAGTTAAAATTATGAAACCTTAGTACAGTTCTCTGGAATGAATTATTTGAATAAAATGCACTTGAAACACCCCTAATAGTCAAACATTGCATACTCTATGCTGTCCTTCATTTAAACCTCCTTAATAACTGGAAAAATTGGCAGAATATAAAAAGGAAACATACTTTTCCAATAAATAATTCAGCATTGAGCAGCCATAAATAAACATTAATTTCTAAATAAAACTTTGCATAGATTTAGCCCAAATGACTTGATTCCTGTGTAAAATTTACTCATCATATTCTTTCTAAATCAAATAGTATGTCAATTTACTTGCAGGGAATATTGTTTTGGACCAGGCTGTATCTTATAAAATATTGTCAACTTTGGCGTAAGAACAGTTCCTTGAACTATTTTTAAACTTCACAAGAGATTCCAATCTTTATTTAGATATTTTTATTTAAGAAAGACCAAAATAGCTTCAAAATAAAATATCCATGTTTCATTAAATTGAAGTAGTAGTAGTTTTACATTCATTACATGCAATATTAAATGCATTCAACATAAATTGTGTTCTTTACAAGAAATATAATAATTCACTAACATAACCTCCAACAAATCACCCAAAAAGTAAAAAAACAGGAAGAAAATGAGCTATGCTAAAATGACTTTCTGAAAACTCTTAAAACGATCTTGATAGATGATAGAAAAGACATCTAAAATAACTAACACCACACAATGGTGAACTCTTTAAGGGTATTTTGTTTATAAGCATTTGTAGTATTAAAACATCCTTAATTTGGCTAGTATTTTGTAAGTCATTAAAACAAATTGACAATTTTGTGAACACATCAATTTGATATTTGTTGTAAAGAAAATTATGGAAGTTTTTCTTTGACATGTTGTTGACATTAAACTGTTCTTCATTTCAGCTACAAGGGAAAGGCTGTATTGTTTCCACATCGTACATTTGTCATTTTGCCCCCACTCATTCTTACCACTGCACCATTTAGGAGAATACAAGAACATCATAATTGTGCAAATGCACGAATGGAAGTATTCTCAATATAGAATCATCCAACAGATATTAACAAAAGCCTCATAAATATAGCAACTATTATTGATTCTAATAAACAGGGTGTCCCAGGACGAAACAGTCTACCCCAGTTATAGTAAAATCAGAATGAACTGTTACAATGAACTTAGTCACTGGTCCTGTTTCACTTACATTACAAACAAGCACAAGAGGATTCAGTCATAGCTAAATCTGAACCTCAGCTTTAGTGAATTTAGGAAATACGTCCTAGAAATTAAAAATATATTGCCTCAGTGCCACTAATTCCAACACTAGGCAGTTTGGTAAAAATATCGCTGGCCAAAGGACAAAGAAATTGCCTCTGTGGTGGACATGGCGAACCCGGGAGGGGAACTTTACTGATGACCTAGTGCCCTTTAGTTTCACAGCAGAAACAAAGGCTGTGTCCCGCATAAGCTACAACTGGTGGCGAAGATGCATGGCTGCTTGCTTTGGTTTCAAGCTCGAGAATCCATGGCATTCTAAGTGGACAGCAGGGAGCATGCAACAGCACTACAGCCCAACCGCCTAGTGACATCCACCATGTCACATGGAAAAGTGATCAGTTTCGTAAGACACATGCACCATGCTGCTACCAAAAAGATCTCATCTGTTATTAGGCGAGTAAAAAAGGCCTGCAGAGAGTGAGACAGTCTTCTAACAATGTAAGAAGCATTGAAGGGAGTCAAGACTGCACTACGATACTCAGAGACAGTGGACAATTCAGAATCAAATATGAAGAGAGCACAAACTCTGGAGAAAGATCTAAAGAAATTACTAATGAAAAAGCACTTCCATCGGAAAAGCCATATGCATACCACACACTGACAGAATAGTATTCACTTCCCAGGCATTTTGTACAACACGCCTCCAACATTTTATCAAAAACTTTTATTTTTTTACTGCAGCATTCCAATACTTTCCCTGCACTACACAAGTAGTATGCGATGAAGGAACAATCATAACAGCTAACTGACATTTCATGGAATAATGCTTCATGAAAGAACACTATTGCACATCAAATCCAAAATATTATAAAGTGAACTAGCTCCCTCTCAGGAACCTTTCAGAATTGGTGTGGTGTATATATAAACTCTTTTGCTCCGAATGCTTTAACCCCCAAAATATTGATGTTTCCTCTTGAGACACTCTGCATTTGTGGCCAAATAAAAATAAGTGAAAGAAATAGAAGAACGTCCATTTCCAGAATTGTTCTGAGAAATATAAAAGAGAAATAGAAGTGTATAAAATGTTCCTTGAAAATGTTACACCTTCCATTCTAGAAATAATTTCAAAAACAATTACACTGGTTTTGTTCATTTTTCTTTGGTTCGATTTGGTTAAATTTGATTTTCCTGACAATCTGCATCAAATTTGAAGAATATAATAAGGGTCTAATCCATAATGTTTCTTGAATTTTCGGCACGTATCAACAGGATTACTTTGTAAATATTTCTATGATTAACATTGTAGATTACCTGCAAATGAATTCAACAGACTCTGGAAGGTAACTTAGAACTTGATATTTTTCATCAGACAGGCCTTCACACTTTGCATGGACCCAGCAACTGCATTTCGCACACTCCATCATCTGCAACAAACACAATTTGTTAAAGGAAATCAATTACTACACAATTATATAACTGGTTTAGGAAATTTTTTACATGCTCTTGAACTATTTTGAACATTACAATAATTGTCTTAATTTATTTCAAAGTATAGCACAACAAGTGAAGTTAAAGAGCTCAAAAATGCTTTGTTACATTATTCAAGACATGATTTGTTTCTCAAGATAAGTGACAAAAACATGAATTGTTTTATAGAGTGTAATACAAGAAACCCAAATGATAAAGATTCCAATAGGTAGGTGAGATATTCATATACTTATATACGAGTTTTAATTACCTTTGTATCATAGTCATGATCTTCATAGCACCGTTGGCATAATGGACAATAATTGCCCTTTTGCCGAAGTTTGAAACAAGCTTTACAAAGAGGTAGGTTCCCAACAAAAACTGTGACATCAGGAGCACCACAACTTTTGCAGCGTAAGCAGGAGGGACAGACCTATAATCATAAGAATGTACAGATTTGAAGAATAATTCTTATCCTGAAGAGTTAACTGCAACTTACTCTTCAATGGAAAAAAAACAACTAAAAATAAAATACATAAATAACAATAGTTTTAATGCAATGTCTGACAAGAAAAGGGCTCAACATAAACTTATTCTAAAACTAATGCTTTAAAGAAAAGAAATATTTGTCATTTCTATTTCCCCTAACAGGAACGAATTGGAAGTATTACGTGATTGTAAAACAAGCTTTAATGATTTTATCAATATGATTATTAATAAAGCTTCCAAACAACTGATCTTGGCTTCATAGAACATATATGTCATAAAATAAATTCTCTTTTCAGCCTCAAAACAATCTTATCTTGGCAAGACCTACATTATCCATTGCACCATATTTTGGTCACATTGTTTTACCATACACATTAATTATCGTGAAAATGTATAAAATAAATTATTTGGAGTTGTTGCACAGTAGTTACTTAATAGGTCATAATTACAATGTTATCACAGTTTTATTACATATTCCTTCTTCATAATCCATACATATTAACATATATTTTAATGCAAATGTGTGTATTACAGAATCAAAAACCATACTTTGTCTCGTAAAAACCTAGTGCTTGACAGAATATCTATTTTAAATTTAACTTTTATAACAGATAACTTGACTTTAATTTGCACTATGAATAATCCAATAAAGAGAATTACAAATTTTATCACTAAATTAAAATCTGTTGATATCTTTGTTACATCAAATTTGAATTCAAAATCAAATGATATATTTGTTTGTGATAATCAACTTTGGCATTTTGAAGCTTTCTATTCTTACAAATGAATAATGTAAATGTTAAGTGAGCAATAAATGAAGAGCAATGCTCCACAATTTTTACTTTGTTATTCTTATTGATGTTGAACTGCCTTAGAAACAAGTATTCTCTTGCAATAAAAATATTGTCTGTATAAAATTTTTAGTCATTATAAACAAGGAAGTTATTCAGAGGTGAACAAGGCTTAAAGTTAAAAGAATATATGCTTTGTAATCTGTAATTCATATTTGTCATTATCCAGATATATACATACATCTACCTTAATTATAGGATCTTCCTATAATGAAGCCAAAATCAAAAGCATCTTCCTAATAATGTCAGAATTCCAATAATTTAAAAAACAAAGAAAGGACAAAGGAAGAAAATATTTCCTTATTCTAGAATAACTGGAAATTCCAAAAACTACTTATAAAACACATAATAAGAGAAACAATATTGGTATTCCCTGGATATCCATGTTGTCTCCCTTTAATATGACTCTAGTGCAAAAGCACATGTGAAACATACCCATGGCCTATCAGGGCTGTGTAGGCGGCTGCTGCCCAGACACTCTGTGTGGTAGGTCTTGTGGCAGCGCTGACAGCTGAGCTGCTGGCCCTGACCACGACCACAGGTGTGGCACACTGTGCAACGCTGGCAGATCCAGTTATAACGCCATCCTTCTCCAGGATCCCGTAAGCCATCTTCCAAGCAAAACCGATGGTATGGTTCACAACACGATGCACAGTGGATAAGCTGAGAAATTAAAACAGTTACCACATATTTCATTGCCGATTAATCCTCATCATATCAGAAAATTTGCTTGTACGTGGATTGTATGAAACAATTCCGATTTCAATACACTAATTCTATAGCTTTTGTCTATTTTTTCCACCTTGAAATTAAACAGTATATTTCATGAGATGTATTTTATTATTCAGAATAAGATTCCTCCACAGTAAAGAAATAAAAATCTAATTTGAACGTTTTAAATTTTAACTGCTCTTCTAAGAAAACTATGCTTCCTTTCACTTCTTCATTAGGTATCTACCTTAACACTTTCACTGCCAGGCACTCTGAAATGACATATCTCTTTCCATTGAACTACTCTCAACAACTTTCAAATAATTATCACTATCATCACATGATGGCATCATATTTTCAACACCAGAATCTTTGACAGCAAATATTTCATCTACTACAAAAGAAATTTCCTCAGAACACAGATCTATCACCATCAGCACAAAATGGCACAACAAGCAGCCATTTTCTCAACAAAGTAAACAACCTATTTAAAGTCAATTTCAGAACAACAGCAACTTACATTGGCTAAACCTACAGATATTGAATAAGCACTTTTCATGTTTCAGTATAATAAACCTCTGCATTTGAATGCCATGTGACGGAAATCTAGCGCACTGTTTAAATTCAAGTGCCCACATACTGATGTCTGGCAGTGGCAGAGTGGGAAATTAAAAACTGGGATCGATGTGTTTGGCAGTGAAAGTGTTAAGACTTCACCTGAACCATTTAACACAGAGCCTAGGTAGGGATAGTAGAATCCCAACAAGAATGAAAGAAATGAATCTGTGTGCATCACTGCAATAGTAGGTAGTGAGGTGAATGTACCACTTCAGCAACCTTCTGTAACACAATGACCCACACGAGAGGGAAACATTTTCAGACATGTATGCACAGATATCCGCATATAGAAGTCAAAGGCCCCAATGTACATAACTTTACACTTATAAGGTTCAACACAAATAAAGCTCTCAATATTCAAAAACAGTCAAAATTGATTTTTCATCATACCTCTGGACCCATGTATATTCAAGTACTTACGCAAATCCAAATCCTAATTTACTCAAGGATTTAGAAAATAAAAAAAGGGATATTAATTTAAAAATGAGAAAATGAAATTAAATAAAATAAATAATAATAATAAATAATATATTATAATATATATATATATATTATATATATATATATATATATATATATATATAATAAATAAATAAAAATTTAAAAAAAATATTTGAAAAACTCACCTGCTCATGTCCTCCGCTTCCGCATAGGAAACAGATAGCTCTCACATGAAAAGGTTCTGAGCCAATAAGACCAAATCCAGTATTGCACACCTCCTCTGGATCATAGCTCTCCCAAAAATCAATTGACACCTGATTCAATGTTTCCACATTTTGCCGCTTTCCAGGTATAGGAAGACTCCTCGTCTACAAATACAATGAGAAGATAATACAGCTTGAGTAATTCATTATGATGAAATGAAAACTAGGAACTGCACCAAATGTTATATTCAAACTCCCAAAATTGGCCTAATTAAACGTAACTCAGCGTTTCAGAAGATCAATATCTAGAATTGTTTCCGTGAGTCTTTTGAGGCTAAAACATTCACTGTACTGATACACATGCAAGTTTTGATTACCAAAGAAAAGCTTCCATTCAAACACACACAACATACCATAGGTGGTTGCTTCAGTCCTACTTTTCTGTATGATTGGGAAGGTAAGCTAAGAGCACCAGATTCCTCTTGTATACTTGTAGTCTCATCAGGAATACTTTTTTTACTGGAATCACCTTTCCCATCCGTTAATGCCAGAACAGAGGTTTTGAACATTTCTCCAACGGCACAATTACTTCTTCCTGTAGATGATCTACAAAAAAGAAAAAGTAAAAGACAATGCAAAATACCTTGTATATTCAGCAAAAGAAAGAGAACACACAACTTACTTCTCCAATATGCTCGCCTTTGAACTGATATTTTCATTTTCTTTGCAGTCTGAACAACATGATGATTTTGTCTTCGGCTTTGCAGTTTCTAGAATTATTAGAAAAAGGTAATTACACCCTTAATATCAGAATTTAAAACTTAGGAAGATCAGTGTTATTCAAAAGATAAATACAATAGAGATATATAACAAACTCTAACAAAAAATGAAAACTTAAACAATGAAATCATTTATAAACAATAGTTATGAATTGTTAATGTCTTAATTTTTCATGAGATAAATAATCAAATTAAATAAGTAAACAATCTAACCATGGTAGTCTTAGCTTGGTAGCTCAAAAGACAACACATTAGCAACACTGTGTAGGATACAACACCATCTTGAAGCCCAAGCTCGAAAGAATAACAAACAATAACGCATATCCTTTGGCAAATCTAACACCACCCTTACTCTGCTTTTACAAGATGAATGGATGGAAGGAAACAGCCTAAATGTTATAATATATTAATGTAGAAGATTTGACATAATGATCTCTACTGCATTAGAGACAAACATAAATAACTTCCTTAAATAAAGGTCCATCATCAAAAATATTATTAATTAAAAATTATTGAAAATAAACTTTTTACTGTCCGACTAATCAAAGTATTTTGAAAAATTCCAAAGATTGTAGTTTCTGTGAATGTGCTTCTTTTCTTTTGTTTATTATACACGTGTGACTGAGTATGTATTACACATTTGTGTTAATTCTGTAATATGTGAAACATTGGGAGCAACTAAAAAGAAATAAACTAATTAATATTTTGTTTTATTTTAATGTTCTATTTTCTATAAATATTCAAAAATATTGAAATTATTAGTATAAAAAAAAACTTCAAGAAAAAATGCCACATTACTAAAAAGAAAGGCAAAAGGCACTACTTTTTTTTCATTGCACTGCATATTTTAAAAATCAGAACTTGCCATCTTGACAAATGCTTTGACAGAAATAACAGCTAAATTAATACTAAAGATTAAAGGTTTTTCATTCACGAGAGTCATTTGTTAACTCCATTGTATGTCAAGGGAACCATGCTAATTAAAGGGAAGGGTGTGTGCTTTATTTATTTCAAAGGATAGGGAAAACTGACATAACCCTCATTTTGATAACTTCCGTAAACCAGACAAAAACAACGTTCATGTAATTTCAGACTTTTTCACTTTATGTTCATACCATCTTTTGCTCTTTACACACATACTTAGTTTTGAGAACATGTTTGTACAACATTTAGATCATAATGTTTGTTTAGGTGGAAATTCTACAATCTTTATTTTGGATTTGTGAAATGTGGGTTATTACTGTTGCTCTGACACCTTCATTTAGAAACACTCACAAGATGCAGTTTTAAATATTATTATTATTAGCAATGATGTACATTGCCCCCCCCCTTGAATTTATTGATTACTGATACCAAGCATATCAACTGCTAAGGTCATTAGTGCCATAAGTGTAGTAAATTTTTTTTTTCCGGGGGGGGGGGGGAGGATCCAGCCTGAACCTTCCTATTTGTCGATTGCAGAAATCACAAAAAACTACCGATCAGAGCAGTGAGTCGCTAGAATTCTCCTCCAGACAGTGATTGAAGAACTTGCCTTGCTGTCTAGTTAGTGTCGAACATTCTGTTACTGCCAGAACTCGAACCTAGGACCTCCCAGTTAGAAACACCGCAGTGACATCAGTTGATGCCCTGAGCCACCTCTCCTGCCCCCCCCCCTCCTTGAAGTTTTACACGAATAAGCAACACTGAAGGTTAGAGTCCATTTCTCTCATGGGCTTCAAGTGAAACATTCTTTACATTAGAAATATTTTGAAGTTGGAAAATAAATATTATAAACAGTGTAATAAACATAATCTTACTTCTATCATAACACTAACTTTCAACACCCTTGACCCCATATTTATTAGGCATCAAAATAAATTTTTATCAATCCTATTATTTGATAACATTATTATCCGTATTACTTCACGTAAAAGAATTCACATTTGAGTTGTCCACAAATTTTGTAATGCCAACTACAGGAGGAGGGGGTGTGAGAAAGTATAACACTGCATTTCATAGGGGTTGAGGAGCTTTAGCTTAGTGTTTCATAACACTATTTTTTCAACAGTTACTGATACATTTCTTTTTTCAGACTTTTACTAAAACATTTAAATATTAACTAATTACTTTTTTAAATAAATAAATTGAAAGTGTTAATGTGTAAATTGTAACAATAAATTAAAATATTTTTAATTAATTTTTTTATTAAATCTGTAAAATGATGAACAAAATATTCAAAATTGATCTAATTGATATCTAATTAAAATTGGCGCAGTCATCTTTTCCCATTGCACATCCATGAGGGAGTGTAAAAGGCTTGTTGTCAAAAATTTTCATACCTATGCGTTCTACCTTTACTAAACAAATTGTCCCTAATTTTATTGTTATAGTCAACTAATTATGACTTTAATTTTCACAAATTTTAAAATTAAACACAAATAATATTAATACAAATTGTTTTACTGAATATTTATTTTTACTTCTTATAAACAGAGGGGGGTTCTCGGTAACATTCCGGAATTATTTAGGAGGGGGAGCGCAAGCATGTATTGCAGAGGGAGACGGACATACAAAATACTCAAAATTAGCGTTATGTAATTTATGGACAGCCCCTTATTTGTTACTCCTTCTAAAAATTGTTCTGAGATGTCTCTTGGATACTGGAAAATGTTGCAGTACTTTTATACTGGACATATGATTTTAAGAAAATATCTTGGATTAACTTCCATCTGCTTCGGCCCCAAAACATTGATAAAAATGTATATTTTATATTTGACACACATGATTTCCATAACATTCCAAAAATTTCCAAATATTAAGCTTTTGACTGTACTGCAATTTTTCTAACTCTGCCCCTCAAGGTCTTACTTCATGGTGGCATTATACTATCATTGTTTTTGTCTTTCTCCATTCTCCATTGGTACACTAGACATGATACAGTGAAATAATGCCACTGTGAAGTTGGACCTTAAGGAGCAGAGTTTTAATCAAAGTATAACTTTTTTCTAATTACAAATTGGTAAAAGTTTAATACATCTGTATTCAGAAAGTCAAAGAAAGCTCGCATAGGTGTGAAAAATCCAAGATTCACCCAGATGTACGATATGTCCCAGATGTATTTTTCAGTGGGACATACTGGGACATAATGTTTCAATGGGATGGTAACGTGACCAATAGAAGAAATCATATGACTCAAGTTTGATAGCACTCCTCTAATCTGTAGGAAGCTTCACATATTTAGCTAACTGTTCCATTTCCCAGTGGTCTACAAAAGAAATATGAGAGCCCTGCAGGTCCCCATAATAATAAACAATAATACTCTTTACAATTAATCTTCTCTTACAACTTTCCATCTATGTATTAAAAAGTTGTTTTTGTATCTTAAAACAGATTATTAGATCATAATAAATTATCAATAGTGTTACTACAAAAAGGCAGAGAACACTGCAGCATACTCCCTCTGAAATGGTCACCTTTTAACCTGCTGCAAAGTGTTCGAGACCATGATGACTTATGCACCTTTGTGACATTTCTTTAGCCAAAAAGAAAACAAAATAAAATCCAAAATTACTTTTAGAGCTTTTTTTCTGATTTCATGTCAGAAGATGATTTCTGATTTCTGATCAGAAGAGATTTCTGATTTCATGTCAGAGATTTCATGTCTGATTTAGTACCGCAAGTACGAGTATACTGTATATATACTGTAAGTATAAGATTTCAGCAGTATATTTTAAAGTTGTTACAGAAACAATGGTTAAAACAGCCAAATCATTATCCAATCTGCGTGCTCGCAAAGTGATTGGTTTAGTGGGAATGTACTCTATTTATAAAGATTGCAAGAAATAATAATTCAGCATACAAACCAAGCCCCTGGCCATCAGGCTTCGACTGACTGCGACATTATGAGACAAAACACAAAACTTAGAAGAGGATTTCTCAAGAAATATATGCTCAATGCCCAAAGGGGCTAAGAGACTGTTGTGAAAAAGACAAACAAATTGATTATATGCAGCGTATATAATAAACAATCACATTTTTAACCCCTGAATTTATGCATCTGAATAATGTTCAACAATATTTGTTGCCCTAGAAAAAGAACTTTAAAGTCTACTCCACTGTAAATACTAAATCTCAAGTAAACAAATAAACATTTTCCTGAAAATTAACAAACTATACCCAAAATGTTGCAGAAAACGAAATTCAGGGAACATTTCAACTAACACTAGGGTTTTCATTTTGTTACATTTTGATTAAATTATGGAGTAATATTGATATTTTATACGTTATTCTTCAACTAAATACACCTGTTTTTCCCTTTTTCTTAACGTTTTAGACCGACAATTAAATGAGAATTTGAGAGGAAAAATTGAACAGTGTTTTTCAAAAAAGTTAACTGCAAAATATTTAAAGAAGTACTAAACTGAGCTGACGTATAATTGAAAACTTTTGTGACATTGAGAAACCTCATAAGTTATGTCAAACAATTCATGTCACACATTCATTTAACAACAAAATTCATTTCCAATGTAAATGTTAGAGATGTACAAGAGGTTTAAAAAAAGTGTGTATGTGTAATTATGGTTATTACACATATGCAATTTTTGGAAATTCAAAACAACCTATCCACATAAAAAGTTTTTAAAAATGTTGGAGTCATTCTTAAAAATCTTCATTTATGGACTTTCAGAAAACTATTACAATCTGACTCAGAATTACATGAAAATGAATAATATTTTGAAAATAAATACAAAACATTATTCAAAGATATAATACCAATGAATACATTAAGAAAGAAATTTAAATTTGAAATTTGAAGTGTTTTTGAAAAAATAAAAAATAAAATTAGTTCTAACTTCAAGTAATGTATGACCCCAAGTTAAAGATTTCAAATTTGTTCAAGTTGAAACCTTAAATCATGATTTAAGTTTGGCGGTTATATTATGAGCTATTAATATTAATAGGAGCTAGTGTAGTCAAGAGACAGAGAGAGTGACTAAACTGACAAAGACAGACAAACTGGCAAAACAGACAGACAGGCAGGCAGGCAAAACTGACAGACAGACAATCAGAAGGGCAATTGTGCATTCAGAGCAATATAGTGTGTGTGTGTGTGTGTGTTGTAATGAGGTTGTTAATGTAACATTAGTTTTTAAAAATATAAAATTGTCCATCAATTATTTTACAAGTAACACACACTCACCTGATTTCTGTTTATTTTTTGGTTCAGTTGTTGGCGAGTCTGATGGAAAAGTGGCAGGGATCTGGCCAAGCACAATTGAAGCACTTCGACACACATGTTTTACTCGTGGACCCTTGAGGTCGATTCTCTGTCGATGACTACTCCATACACTCCCAGAACGGCGTGCTTGTGAACTTCCCTCTTTGTGACTTGGCTTAGCTCTCCCATTCTTCTTTTTCTTCTTGGAGCTACCTTGTTCATTTAATTCTGAAAATTTAAATCATTAGCATTTCTGTATAATTTTCCCAGTTTCTACACTTGGATATTTAAAAAAAAGAAATAATACTAATACTAATACTAATAATACTAATACTAATACTAATAATAATAATAATAATAATAATAATAATAATAATAATAATAATAATAATAATAATAATAATTTTTAAAAAATAGATCATTGGTTAATTGGAAAATAAATTAATTTTTTGAAAAGTGAGTGTCAGAGAGACTTTCTGGTGGCAAGAGAAAGAACGGAAGAAACATTCTTCCTCAGAGCAATCTCAATCTGTGCGTGTCATCTTCAAAACATTGGTAGGCATGGATAATATATAGGCGTAGTACAATTCAATTATCTGAACTAAATAATATAAACTGATTTCTTTGAGTACTTTCTTCATGATACTCGTAATGTAATAGCAAATCTGAAGTTTTAGATGTTATTTTCTAATACATAAAAATTAAGAAGTAGAATGTAAAATAAAAGACAGGAAACAAAGGCAAGGTAATTATCTCTTTCGTAGCTCCAAATATGCAAAAAGCTTTATGGAACTACACAAATTAGGGAAAATAAATTGCTTGTCATAAAGACCGCATTAGAAAACAAGTTGATACAACATGCAGGAATGTGATTGTCACACGATATTACCCTTTTGCTTATAAGCACATAACAACAAAATCTCTACATTTTTTTGGATAATAAAATGGAACTCTCCTTTAGGAATAAAAATGAAAACTCCACTAAACCTGATAACAATTATCAAATATTTAAGCCAGAATAGCAACAAGATTAATAACCACTGAAGAATGTGTTTAAACAACATACAAATTGTTGACGATATTGTTCAACATTATTTTCTATTAAACCATACAAAATAATATTGGCCTCACCTTTGTTTGCAGTAAGATTTTTAGAGGCTTTTTTAAGTAGTTTTGCTGACTGTATCTGTGAATGACTCTTATGATTATGGTTTGCACTTTGTTCTTTTTCACTTTTCTTTTGTCTACTTCGCTGTTTTCCTGAACTTGACCCTTTTTGTTTGGCTTTCTGGTTGCAATTTCTTTGATGGCCAAATGGATCACGCTGGAAAAGTACAGGAACAGGTGTTGGCCATTCTTTTGGCAATCTATTGCTTTCTGCTACAGGCAAATCAATAAAGCCAAGTTTAAAGGGCCTGTTTAGAATGCTACTTGTCAAATCTTCACTTGACAGAGCAGTATGGCATTGAGCTGCAACGTAAACAAAAACACAGGTCATTTAAGACAGTCCTCAGATTTGCAAAAGTTCAAAAGTTATAAATTATTGAAGAGTAGCTACTGCAAAACTATTTACCTCCAGTTTGAGTTTTTGTCAATCCATTTTGCATTTCTGGAGGCAACATAGACATTAGACCTGTGCGTGTGGTATCAGGCATTTTAAATGAGCGAAGGCACATTTTAAGCCAACAAGCTGGGCATCGAGCTTTGTAGGAACACCTTACTAGAGTTCCACGTCCAGCCTTCCATTGCTGACTGCGTACAATAGGCGGGACAGAACACATACCTGGAAGAAAAAGAGTATTAATTTCTTGAATTCGCTTCACTTAAATAGCATAACATAATGAAAATCACTGAAAAACCTAAATAAATGATAAACTTATAACTACTTTACTTATAAGTGGATTCTATTAAGAAACTATTAATGTACACATAGTACAAAGCAAAATATACCTTCCCCTTTGTGACATTCCAACGGGGGCAGATTATTTGTTTTAGCACACGCTTGTCTCTTAATCATTTTTGAAATGAATTTACGGCATGATTCACAACTGAAAATGCCAAATTTTCTAGCTTGTTTTACGAAACGATAAAATCGCACAGCACCACACACACCACATTCAACTGTTTCTGGAAGTGAAGCACCTGAAGAAAAAAAAGCAAATAGTAAAAATGCCATCCATCTACAAGGAAAAAACAAAAAACAACACAATACATTATCAGTCGTTCAATTTCTGAAATGGAGTTACAAAATATTACGGCTAAATATATAACCATTTTACATCTGCACTGTTTAAAAATGCTTTCTTGAAAGAATTAATTACCAATAACACACAAATTTATAAAAGCAATTTATATTACATTACATTTCAACACAGTTCTAAAGTTAAATATATGAGATGTTCAATTGTGTGATTTCACTATGTGCAAAGAGTTTTTCTGTGGAGGTACAATATGTTCAAACAATTTTTTTAAGTATGACGAACTTACCCAAATGTGTACTATTAGAAAATGGACCATCACTCAATGATGATGTTTGTGTGTTTAACTTCAGACGTGCTTCTTTCAAGATGACTTTGCTGCTTGTATTTAATTTTGAACCAGGCACTCTAGTGTTACAACCCACTTTGTTTTCACTATGGGTATTGATTACCAACAAATCACTTTCACTTTTATCCGTCGTATGGCCACTAATTGACTGAGAAACTGTTTCTCTGTCAGAACCACTGTTAACACTTTCACTGGCATCAGTACTTGAACCTAAATTACGTTTGAAAGGAAATTTACTGGTCCCTGCTCCAAAAACATTCAATTCTCTTAGTTTTAATTGTACTTTGTAAGAAGGTTTCCATCTTCGTTTACCTTCCACAATCAATGCACCTTCATGAGGAGGGGAAGAAGAATCCTCTTCTGTATTAGCACTAATATTACCTTGCACACTGTCCAAATTTAAACAACCTAATCTAGTATTCCTCTCACCTTTTTCAGACAAATCTTCACTAAAAGAAAAGGACTTTTGATTACTGCGAGATTCCTCAGAGTTCCTCACAGGACTTAGAATTAATTTTGGCCTCTTTAGCTGTACCGTAGATGGTGTCTGTGCTGCATTCACATCACCAAGATTTTCATCTGTTTCTATAAATCTCTTGTTAGGCTTAATTACCCTTGAAGAGTGAGCACTACGACTGGGGAGCACAAATTTACGTAACGCACCATTTAAACATTTATCTTGCAGGCAGCCATCCGAATTTGGAAGAGGAACTTGACAAGATTTCATAGCCTTCTGTAGAAGTTTTTTTGCTGCACTGTTTTTCAATGTGGTATTATTTCCAGAATGGTTGCTACCTAGAAACTTCTTTCCTGAGCTTAAACACTCATCAGATCTTTCATTTTCCTTTTTGAGAGGTTTTTTCTTCACGTCCACACTACCTCCACCATCAAAACACTGTTTTTTCCTAATTTTTGACAAAGGCTTCTTAGGAGAAGGTTGGTCATCCCTTTTCTCTCTTCCACGTAAGCGTTTTCCGCCACCATCAAAACACTGTTTCTTATTTTTTGCTGATGACCTTCTTGGTGGTGAACATTTAAATTTAATTTGTGAAAATTCCTCATTAAAACTCCTTTGTAATGGAATATCGAAACCATTTAACTTGCACTCTGCTTCAGTATCACGAAGATGAAGTCTGGCATGTGTCACAGCCAACTGCACTTCTTTCCTGGTAAATCCATTAAATTCTGAAGTAACCTAAACAAAATAAAACAATTAATACTCAATTACGTGTTGCAAAAATAAATGTCGAGTCATTTAGAATAATAATTCACCTTCAAACCTACTGACATGTCACAGAATTCATTTGACATTTTAGGTTATTATGGAAGACATTACAATAGAAGTGTCGACTTACGATTAAAACTACAAACACTACGAGAAAAACAATGGGTTTGAATAATGTTACACGTTCTTCACTATTTACGAAAGTAATATTATTCCACAATTACCTCGCTACAACATCTTTCTTTTTAATCTGAAATCTCGATCACCTACCTGTTCTTCATTACCAAATGTTTCATTGAAAACAGCAAGGCCATAATATATGGTTTCAGCGGCTTTAACAGAATCGTCCTCCCTAACAGATGAACACTTAGACACTTTAATTCTTTTACGATTAACAATTTTTGATGGTTTACCAGGAAACTTCCCCATTTCAAGACACTTTCGCTTTCCACTATGCCTGGATTGTTTCCATTTATTTTATGGACTCGCAACAAACAAGGGAAGAGCGCACCGCCACACATTTTGCGCGCAATTGCGGCGTACTGCTGGCAAGCGGACTGTTAGTTCCATCGAACCAATAGTTACGCCCCATTCTCGCGGCATAATTTCAAATTTTGTTGGGACATTCCGTCAGAACTTTGCTGTTTTTGGTGCTTAAGGTGAGAAGTAAAGCATAAAATAGTAAAGTTTATTCATTTACAACTGTAAATAATAATGTAGAATAAACAATCTTCCCCTCTTGCGGAAGAAACTTTATAACTTTTGATATTCACCGCCGATTTTCCACTGCCTTGTCGATATACGAAGATGGTGACCTCCTCCCCTCCAATTGAGACACATGAGGCCCACAAGAGGGCCGTGCGGGGCTTTTGTAGGGATTCAAGTTGGGTTTATCGTTAGACGGTGACTGATAGGTCACGTTAATGTTGCTGTTCATCGTATTTTTTGCGTTGCATTTGATGTTCTTCAAAATTATGTTTATTGTAGTCCCGCTACAGTTTTTACGTGAGAAGTTGGAATAATAATTTTTTTCGGCACATTTCTGCATCAGCATGGCCCGTTCGCATGGGACATTAAACTGCAAATAAAATATAAAGAATTCATTTAATTTCTTATTCATTCACTTTTATTTGCATCAAGTTACTGATGTTACAAAGCTCTTACATTGTTATATTCTTACCTGTGGACGAAAACCTGTCAAAAACTACTAATACTACGTCACATATTTTTCCCATTATTTATAACTTTTGCAATTTTCGAAAATTCAGAGCTCAATACAAATCGTTTTTGCCCTGTTTCTATAAGGGTACTTAGCACTATCAGTTAAAAATAATGAGAAGTTTTTCAGAAAATCATGTTTTTAAATTTGCCTTTATTGCACAAAATTGTGCGAAAACTATACACATTTAACGAGAAAAACCGTGACATTTAAAGATACTATATCGGATAACAGGCAGGAAGAAAAGATTTTTTTTTAAATTGTATTTGTAGGTAGAAGCCGAAAAAAATTTGAACTTATTAAAAAATTAAACAAAATCAGAACTGCGTCATTTTTATAAGCGTATCTCTTCGTTAAAAACATTAATCTAAGCCTTTTTTTTTTTAAGCTAACTCTCCCCCCCCAAATCAAAGGGTCTTGACATCAGCGAGATCGATTGTGAAGTATCAGTTTTGGTGAAAATCCTTTTACCTGCTGGCGGAAAGACGGAAAGATAGACGATTTGTTGTCAACCAATTTTTCAGTATTAAGCGTCCATGAAACGAGGACACGTTTTATCCAACTTTTCTGAATTAGGGCCCCACAATAGGAGCTTTATGACGAAAATTCGGCTTTTTTACTGCAGCAATACAAACCTTTCTCTTTAATACGTAAGTAAAACCGATTACTTTTGACTCGGAATTGCCTTGTACATTGTTATGTACAATTATTGTCAACCAAATTAATTTTCCTCTCTATTGGAATTTTAAAAAGTAATTGATTTTTACCTGCAGAATACCATTTTGACCACCTTATTATCTTTTTATTTAATAATACAGAGGATTCTATTTGGTAATTATCACAAGTAATTTAATGCAAAGAAAAAAAAATTTGTATAATAGCTCTTAATTTTTACACATCTCAGTAAATTTTGACGTACTGAAATTTTAATTTCCTTGCAATTTAATATTTGACTCTTAAGTTTCACAAAGTAAATTGAAGAACTGCTATTCCCTTTTAAGTGTGTTCATTTCACACTTGATTCTAATTAATAAGCTCGTGAAACAAACATTGCACACTGCAACTTTCTTTTAATAGTTCTATTGTTACTTATAATATTCCTGTATCAATTTCGTTTATGTAAACCTCTTCTATTTCTTTATCACATAATGTAAAGAGATTCCTGCAGAATATCTTTTCCCCAATAATGTAAGACAATTCCTTACATTATTACCATACTGAGAAAACATTGAGTGAAGAGGCATTAAATGAATTTCATTATCTTTCCAAGCCCATTTACAAATCTTGATGATCAGAGCTTTAACACGACTTTCAAATTGCAAATAAAATACCGTATTTACCCGAATATGACGAAGTTTTTTCCCGAAATATCTGTTGAAAAAAGCGGGGTCGACTTATATTCGCAGATTAAGTCTAGGCGGTTAAGAATTAAGTTTTTACATTGTCATTCCATGTTACGAAACTTGTAAATATTGACGTAACAATAAACTGGAAAACAGAAAAAATATCGCACGTATTTACAACACGTAATTATATTCGCGGCAGCCGGGAATTTGACAATTCAGACAGATATTATTAAACGGGTGTGTAAAGAGAATCACTAACTGAAAGGCATTGTATCAAATGAAACGTTACTTGAAAATGAATGGCAAGTTTGCTACACGACGCGCGTTCGGCGAGACCGCGCGGAATCTCGGTTCGACGCCCGGCGAATACGAATCTGCTTTTTGAACAGAAACAGAGGATATCAACAATTGCAGGACTGAAAGAAAATCTGGCGATAGAAGGGAATGTTCTTGGATGGCGTCTAATGAAATGAACAACGCAAATTTAGTCCGCAAATCTTTTAAGAGGGACCTAAAAAGTCAATGTCTCAGTGTGGAAGGACTAGAAAGAAACATTGATTTGTGAAGATGAGGGGAATGATAATACTCATGATTATGATGATAATAAGGAACAAGAATAAGTTTAGCAATAAGTCTTAATATTCTCACCAACAATGCATTTTTCTAGTCAATATACATTTAGTAATTTAATTTTGGCTGAATAGTAAGAATTAGTTAAAAATATAAAAAATTCTCGAGACCTCTTCAAAATAAGGGGGTCATCTTATAATCGGGTAAATATGGAAAGAGCTTTAATACATTCTCTAAAAATTAGTAATATTAAAAGCCATTCATTTAGTTGCTTAGTAAAAAAAGGTAACTATATATGTTCTTGTAAGTAAAACACAACATACAAACAAAAATCTTTATTTCAGTTACAATTCACAAAAACTTGACATTATTAATACATAAATTTTCTTCATTCCTTCACATAAAAAATCCACAGGTAGATCATGGACTAACTGCACACCAATCCTGTAACAAACAATTTAAATACATAAATTCAGTCATCTAAAAGAATACATTATTTATATTCATATAATAAATTGATTCCATATCATAATGGATTCTTCATGTTCTGGGAAAATCAACTTAGACAAATATTTGAAATGTAATTATCAAAAACTATGGGTTTCTAAAAATTGTTCTTTTAATGGGATTTAAGGTTCATGCACTGGCGAGTAGTATGTGTTTGTATGTCCACACTTCTGTATATATACACTCAAGTTTTGTTCCTGGTACTATTTCTGCAAGTTGGTCTTTTCGTTCTGCAAAATTGTTCTTTTGACAAATTAAAAAATCACATGTTTTAATATTTAAATCACTTGGTGTTCAGTTACAATATTTATTTATATTACAGAAACTGTTCTTGTATAATACATTAAATTTTTTCCTTATATTTTACTAGTAACGTTGGTGCCTTAGTTATGAATTTTTATAGGAAATTCCTTTACAAATGTTAATTTTAACTGAAGACAGACTTATGTAAAATGCTAATGTGATTAGCACATTGTGTTCAATATTCATCTATTCTTTAAAACATTAAAAAAAAAAAAATTGAATCAACGTAATATGAAATATTTTGATAAAAAATTAGAAAATTTTAATTAATTGATAATAATTTTTTAGAACATTTACATTTCTTATATCAGTGAAGAATATTTCACACGTTTATATTTATATTATTCATCGTAATTGAAGTCAAGTACTGTTTAGTATACATGTTAATAAAAGATATTGCAAATTTTATTTCTGATGTTGATTTCTAGTTAAGTTCTAATAATTCAAAGTTAATGTTTAATTACTGTTATAAATTGCTTCTGTGCTCCTTGTTAATTGATAATTTAGTGCATTTTATTGTTTGAAATTATGACAAGCAGTAAAGAAAAGTATGAAATGGGTTTTTTTCTGGGAAACCCTAGCAAAAAATGTACAATACAAACTGCACGATACAAATGTTGTTTTACAATAAATCAAATTTTTAAACTTTGTGAAAGTATTTAAGATGCAATTTCTGTTATAGTTTGGTCACTATTCCTATAATACATTTCACAACCATTTTCATCAATTTTAATCTAATGATAAAATTAAATTACAACAGGGTAAATTAACCTTGAATCAGCTTTCTAACAAGTAACTTGTAAGTAACTTTACTACTAACTAAAGATTTTATTTCTTATTGAGTTGACCATCATCATCAGAACTGATAATTATAATGATGTGTATATGAAAGGAAATATAAATAAAAAATTTAAAAAATAAATCTGGCCACCTCTCTCTCTTTTTTTAAAATTATTTCTCCTTTGTCATTTACATTATTAAACCCATAAATAATTATTTAAACTACACATACCTAAGTAGTCATCCATGAGTGTACCAATTGCAAACTGAAACAAAAAAATAAAGAATAAAAATACAGAATTGTGCAATAATTAAACTCTATAGCTCAAACAAGAGGATTCTTTTTGCAAATATCTTTTGCTTTGGTATTTCGGTACCACAAAAAAACAAAAACAAAAAACACAAACAAAGAGACAATAGACATTACACAAGATGGATACGGAAGACTGACTAGGGATGAAATATATGGAAATTAAATCAATGATTATTATTTGCTTGGACTAAATCATAATAATTCACAGTACGACCCGCTATCATTAACAAAAATTATCCCTAACTTCTTTTGAAAATGTCATCAATCTTCCAACAATTGCAACCAATCGCCGTCATTGAATTTTCACAAAGTTTTCTTGTGCACAGAATTCAAATGGTTGTTCTCTTTACACAATTAACTAAGCTTTTTACATAACAGATTTTTATAGATTTGATGAAACATAACGCAAAAATTGTTTGGTGAATAAAAATTTTAAAATCAAATTCGAGTACTCAAGAATTCTTGCATCATTAGTTTATTTTCTAAATAAAATGTTTTACTATTTCCCAGCTCTTCATTCACCAAGATAGCCACAAATTAATTATGATCTACTGTATTAATGATGTTTTCATTGAAATGCTTATTAATTACATCCCTGAATCTAGTTCATATGAATTATTTATAATGCAACAACACAATTGTTATTTTATTAGTTTCCATGAAAGTTTGCAATAGTTTTATTTTCATTTTTACTTACTATTCCAGATGCATCAACTCTTGTGCCAACAATTTTCAGTCTAATTTCATCATCTTGGGTAATTGCAACATCCTGAAAAGAAATTAAATTTTACTTCAAAATTTGCTAAAGAAAGAAACATTACCTTTTACAATATGTCAATAGAAATTCAAATTTATATTGAAATATAAATTTTTAACCTTTTGAGAATTAAACATTGGATATATTTACCTCTTCTTTGGATTTGTAACAAGGCGGGTTTGAATTCGGGCAGAACTGCATATCAGCAGGAATGGACTGAAACAACACCAAAATCTGCTGAACAAACGCCATACGAACTACCTGCAGAATTCCCATATATCCTCATAAATATTTTTTTTTCATGGCAATAAAGATTCAATGATGATGGTGACAATACTAATAAAAAAATATGAATCCTCAAATCTAGAAAAATACCATGTGTAAATAAAAAAGTGAAATGAACCCAGAAATATAGTGGGCCCTCTTCTTGTTTTAAGTAGTGCACCTCTAACTGCTCTAGAATTCTTTCCTAGCTAGGAACTGAGATACTTCAAAGACCTGAACTAACATTATATTTTCTTTTCCTTCTAACTTTTAAGAGAAATTTATGATTGTAAAAGAAAGATGTGCAAGAGTATATATGTACAAAAAAATTGCTTAAATAAAAAACATTAAAAAATCTATTACTAAGCTGACTAAAAATTCTTATCATGTTACACGTTTACAATTAATAGATGTTAAATTATTTGCCTATCAGATAAGTCAACATATAACAAATCTAGGTGTAACAATGGTAAAAGGTTTATAACATTATATATAAATGAATATTATGAAGGAACTTACATGATGTGAGATAAAACACGACAATGGGCCTATTTCAGCAAACATGCCAACCTGGACATTAAAGTATTATAAGTACAGATTGGTTTAACATACACAGATCATATACTAAAAAATGCTGCAAAATGTTATACCTTGTTGACTTGTGTAACAACTGCATCTAGGACTTCACCCTTGAATGGGCGGAATACAATAGCTTTATATTTTACAGGATAAACCACAAAACCTTGACCAGGCTGAATTAAACCCGATCCAATGTTATCAATAGTTGTCACAGCAATTACAAAGCCATATCTGAAAATTATTCAATCAATTACTCATTAAAAAAAACACAAAAAACTATGAATGTATGTTTTGAGTGGAATGCATTACAAGCAAAATGAACCGACTTTCCAGTACACGTTCCTTCCACTTCGGTATACAGTTTCTGCTTAACAGTCTCCAACAATTGTGGTCCAAAATATCGAGGATGAAGGAGAATTTCATGTTCTAGAGATATCTGAAAAGGTTTCAACTTAATAACTTCTAGTAAAAACGTGTAGTAAAAAAATTGAAAAGATTGTAGGTGCACAATAGCCTTACGTGATAAAACATGACGTGATAGGTTAAAAACACAAGTAATATTTAGGATTTGCCCCACTAAATGAAATTTTGACAAAGCAAGGTTGAAGGTCCAACATTTACATTTACTTCAGTTCGTGATCTTTCATCAAACGAACACAGTTCATGGCAATTCATGAGATCATTCTAAACCGTCACAATGCAACGCACCACAACTGCTTCACGATAACAACCATAGACTCTTTGCCATAGACAAACTAGCGTGGGTGCTCTGTGATATCAACAGTGTTCCCAGATTATCAACACGTTTGCGACGCGGCAGGAGAGAACTTATAAAAATTAACATAGTCTCTCTTCAACTTGGAACTGCTATCCAATCGGAAGCTTTAATCTAAAACATGTAAGACATAACGAAGCTTCCAATTCAATGACAGTGTTCCCGTCTCCTTGCAGAGTGTGACCTTAAAGAGACACTATATTTAAATCTGACGGTACTTAATCGTACTTAATTCTCTTTGGCATAGAACGCCATGGTGTTATTTCCACCATGATAATGTCAAGTGACACTAAATTCGTGCCGTGCAGACGAGGCCCCGAATTGAATACCAGCCGAATACTCTGTAGGACTCAGAAGCCCACAATTTCCAACTTTTATGAACATTCGACGCCAAACATAAAATGCTCCTGCCGACATGCATCGCGTGCGTAACGTGTCCGTGTAGTCAGTATTACCTGTGTGTGATAAACAAACAAAATTGTCCAAAATGAAAGGTAACGAATATCACATATTTAACGCAGTTGATCCGTGAACTTATATTGAAATTATGGTTAACTCCTTACAGATTTTACAAATTTTGTAAATGGAGAGACGACGGGGTATTTAATGAATTTTCAAATTCTTGGCATGAAATCTGCGATTCGCCATGGATAGACATATTTTTAATTTAAAGTTTGCATCAAAACAAATGGCAAGAAATTCCAGTAAGTCGGAAAAAAGTCATGGTTCGGAAAAAGAGAAATGTAAGAAAGCCATTCGTCAGGGTAACATGGAAATTGCGAGAATTCACGCCGAAAACGCAATTCGACACAAAAACCAAGCAATTACTTTTTTAAATATGAGCGTTCGACTAGACAGTGTTGCTTCAAGGGTGCAATACACTTCCACAATGCAACACGCTAGCCGTTCTCTAGAAAAAGTTAGCAGAGCTATGGAAGTTGCATTGAAATCTATGAATCTTGAAGAATTATGCAAAGTATTGGATAAATTTGAACAAGAATGTTTAGATTTAGATGTGCAAACCATGACAATGGATACGTCAATGATGCAGGCATCTAGTTTTGCACCTCAAGACCAAATTGACAGATTTATGCACCAACTTGCAGATGAAGCAGGATTAGATATTAATTTGGAAATGCCATCCACAAGAGCTAGTATTCCTGTACAAGACAGTCAAGAGAAAGATTTAGATCGTCGCTTTGGTGCACTACGTAATAAATGAACTAATTTCCATCTACTTAATACAGAAAGCAAATAGCTAATTGTATATTACTCCAAGGGAGTCTCAATGGCATGTAACATCACCTTAGACCAGTTACAAATAATTTTAGGGGACCAATGCTTCATTGAAAATAAGAAAAATTATAACTAGAGCATAAATGAAAATATTAATTATGACTGCAATAAATAGTGATTCCTCACCCAAGTTAATTTACATTAATGAAGGTTTCATCTCACAGTAGTTATACATCTTGAATACCAGTCTTCTATATATTAACAAAATCAACAGGAATTCATTACAAAAAAATAAGCATTTTATTCATTACACAGACATTAATAAAGTAATCACAATAATATATATGCTTTGTTATATAACAAAAATTAACATTGTATCTTAGTTTTGGTTGTACAATTCACAATTTCAACAGAAAGGACAGGAACTAACAAAAGTACACACTTGTATGTTAAACAAAAAAAGGGGGCGGGGGTTATAGTATGAAAAATGTAAATTTAGATACATATATTTCACAATGAAAAGGCTCATGGACAAAAATATCCATTTGTCTCAATTAATGTTATCACAATTTTCATTACAAGCTCACTTGCTTGATAAAAAATATAAATTTCAGGCAGCAGCTCCTTGCAATGTTGCCATGGATATTTCTGTACTCTGTTAACAACCTACAAAACAAGAAAACTTGTAATATGCATTTTTTTTTCTTCAAAATAAGAATAAAAATGAAGGTAACATTGAAACTTACCTATATTTAGAAAAGCACTATTTCATAATATTAATAATCTTGCATACATTAAGAGCCTCTACTGCTTTGAGACTGGTCATCGGTTCTAAAACGTCGAAATAATAAAACATGTGGTTCTGTAAGAAACGTTAAACATCTAAAATATTAGCTTTTCAAATACCACATATCTAAACATTATTATTAGCTGAAGCATGCACAGATGAGCTCTTTTTTTTTTTTTTTTTGGTATGCAATTTGTTAGGACTGAGCTATGTTCCCAAATTTTCCAGAAATCATTATGACATGTCAAACCATTCATGTTTACTCACCTGGGGTATGAATCATGTAATGTACCCAACCAGGACTCTGCTGGACTCCAAGATTTCTCCACTCTGTTTCAGTCATTAAATGAGATTTAGGCACTTGTCTTGCCAGATCTTCTGGGAGAATCACATGCCTAGACAAGATGTTAAAAAAATACAGCCTCGAAAAGTATCAGAAAAATATAAAACCTATTAAATCCAATGAAATTTACTTTTACAATTACTTTTATACCTGTATTCAAATTGGTCATCACTGTATTTTTCGGAATACTGGATCTGATGCACCGGCATTTCTGAAAATTTATTTCACACAAATTACAAGTTTCGTCATTACACACGTCGGCCACGAGGCCAACACAAACACGACACACTCTGAACAGAACACGCTGTCGTTCTTCCCGCCCTTGGCAGTTTACGTTCTTCAAGAACGAATCAATCTCCTCTCGTTTGATGAACCGGATGAACTAATCAATATTGTCGGTCCCGCGATGCTCACTGGAACTATGAATGTGGAATTGATCATGACAGTTTTCTTTAGCGACGAGTCTGTGACAGCCTCACACGATCTGAAGATCCTACTGTCTTCATGGAATCTTAAATTGTCACGAATAAATAAAATTGAGTCCCTAACTCCGTGTGCCACACACGCACAGTTATCCCAACAACACAGAGCTCTATTTCAAATAAATTTATTTAATTTCATACACAAGATTAATCCCTCGCACGTAACTATAAATGACAAACTCTGCATGATAGCTACATAAAACAATAAATCATTCACCTTGAATTGGAACAGTATTTCTAGAAAGGTTGAAATCGCACTTAATACTATAATGCTACATTTTGATATTACATCATATAAATTAAACTGTTTTTGATGTAGATAATACATCAACATTTAAAATAAACAAGATCGCATGAATTTAGCGTTCAGTTGTTAAATAATGAACAATATTTAATGCATTATAAATAATTATAATTACGCCACATGTGGTAGAAATCATTTCATCAAGTGCCACTAACTACAGCTCACTATACAAATCACAAATATTAAATGTATGTAACTTTACAGCATCTTGCCGGATGACAAAATCGATAAATATGTTTAAGTCATGGTAGAAATACAGGGTTGGTTTAAGTGCCAAGTAAAAATCTTTTTTTGCTGCATATAACTGTTATTAGCTATTAAATGCAATTAGATATTAGTATATTGACGATTAAAAATAACTAGTGGAGCTAAAACAGCATAAACAACCCAAACTAAAACATCATCCGACGATGATTTTTTTTATAAATTGCATTATTTTCAAGCACAAATTACGCAAAACTTCTCGTTTATTCAAAAAAATTATAAATGGCATTTTTAAAGAGCTGGATTTTTACAACAATCGAAGGTAAAAATCTACATCTTCAATTTTGTAGTGTTTTGAAATGTTAAGTATTTGCAATATGCTCGAAATTACAGAGGTCGTCGAAAATGGGACTAGCACCACATTCTTTCACTGTCCTTTGATATATACGAGAAGAAAAATTTGATGCATTTTTTTTATTTTGAGAAAAATTGTTTAAAAAATTTAAAAGTTGCATTTCACGAAAAATTAAACAAAAACAACTCATATTTTTGAAAAATTGAATATGATCTTATTTCAAGATCTGGCTTTAAGGGATAAGTTTCATTAACGAAAAAATCCTTATTTTCAATATTGTAGTTGTAGGGGAAGACACATCCACAAATGCACTTTCGCAATTGTCGAGAAATCCTGGATTTTAACGAAAATGAAACCTGCACCTTTCTCTTAAGTGTTTTGTACTCTATTCGAGGGCAAAGTTTAATCAAAAAACTTGGTGAGCCCAGTTTTGAGAAAATGGCTGAACGGTTTAGGCGCTAGCATTAACCACTGACGGACAGACACGGACAAATAAACGTTTTGCCGTCAATCGATTTTTTGGTATCAAGGATCCACAAAACGTGGATAATGACTATTCCACGTGTTAGAGGAAGTAACTTACTATAAAGTGTTCCTCCAACTATGGGCCACACTCATAACTTCTAAACGCTTCACAATCGAAATGCAGTTATCACTCATGATCTCATCTATCGTCACATATAGATCGCTTAATAGTATGGAATAGGTCTCGTGGCTCACGATTAGGGGGCGAATTTTAATGAAATGTTTTTTTTCACTTTAGAACAACGTTGTTTAATGTAGAAATTTGTTTAATGTTAAAACAAAATCTATTTTATGTCTTTGTTTTTGCGTTTTTGTCGATTTCTACTAATAAGTAATGTTTTATCTTTTACGTCATTTTTAATGCATTTTTTGCTGATATGATCGAATTTAATATTGTATACTTGCTTCAAAGAATATTTACGAGATGCAAGAAATGATCATCATATAATTCCTGTTAAGCATATTCGATTTCTTTGCTCATATATTGTAATGTCAGCCGTTGTATTATGTTATCTTTGTAATCAAGATTCCTGTAACGCCTATTGGCTCCATTGTCAGTTCAGCCGATTTCGCGAGAAATAAAGGCAGATATATTATTTTAAAGAACAGTCCAGACCAAAAGTTTGCAAGCTGAGTTCATTTGAACAATAGGAGGAAGCCTCGATTTCATCAGTAACATACCCAACAGCTTGAGTTGTTCATCTGAAGTGGTTTTGAACAACATTTTTAGTCCTTTTTCTTTGTTTTTAGGGCATTTTTGAAGCATTTCAAGAGCATTTTATTGATCATTTTTGGCAACGTTTTAGGTCACCAAAATCCGCCCCTACTCATAATATGACACTTTATGTATACACTCGTTACAATCCGGAAAGGCAAGCGGTCTCATAACTAAGGAACTAAGCGGTCTAAAAGTGCAGGCACTAAAGCTGTGTTTGATTCCCTCGTAAGGCTTTAATAGTGTTTGTGGCAAGAGAGCTTACACAGTTCCTCGTGTATTAGTACGCGCAAACTAAAACTGTGCGTTCGAATCAGGTAAGACTGGTTTCCATTACTTTGTGGAAAGGGGCCATTCTCAGTTTCTCTTGAATTATCTGAATATACTCTTAATTATTCCATATTCGGAGTGTGCCCAAACGTATGAACACTAAAACTGCCCGTTTGAATCCTGTTTAAGGAATGTTTTCAGTAGTGTTTTTGGGAAGAAGGTATTCCCAGTTCCTCGTGTTTCACCTGAAAATTAATCCTTCCACAATCCGAATGCGCCCTCCTAAATTCTCAGTTCCTCTCATATTACCTGAATATCTTTCCACAAAACCAAAGCTCTCAAGTACGTGGTCACTGTGTGTTGTAAATCGCATAATATAAATTGTATGTTAAACTACTTTTAAGGCCAAGTTGTCCCTTAACATCACATTTTCGAGTTTGTGATGGTCTGCAGCCACCGACATTTACATAAAATAACCTAGAAATGACAATTTTCTTCTATATTTCCCCAGTGGAGCATCCCTCTTAATGGTGCAACAATAATAAGGTAGTTCACAACAACATTTAAAAAAATCATTTATTAAAAAAACTCATCCACACACATCCACACTCATCCTGCATTGACGCTGTCGGTGGCGGGCTTGCGGTGGTGGTTCCACGTGGCTCGCTCGCCCGCGCCGCCGCCTCCTCCGGCGCCGGCGCCAGCGCCCGCGCCCGCGCCGCCGCCTCCCCCTCGCGCCCGGCGCCCGCGCCGCCCGCCGCCCCGCGCTCGCGCCGCTGCGCCCCTGCCGGCGCGCTGCCACGTGGCGGTGCCGCCCAGCCCACCACCACGATGCCGGTGCTGGCGGCGAGCGCTGGCGGAGCCCGCTTTGCACCGCCCCGCCGCGCCGCCCCGCCGCCGCCCCGCCCCCGTCGCGCCCCCGCGCCCCGTCCGCCCCCCGCCCGCCCCCGCACGCGCCTGCCGGCGCCTCCGCCTGGGGAAGGGCGACCGCAGGCGGAAATTGGAGAACCGGTGTAAGCCGCCCCTCCCCCGACGCCACAAGGAGGCACACTTCCGACTCTTTAGGAGGCCGCTCGCACGGAGCCACTCGATGGCGCCACGAGAGGCGGCAGAGCCCTTCAGACACACCCACCGCCGACCGCACCGACCGCGGAGAGGAAGGGTTCGCGAGTCACACCTCTGTGGGATCCGCGAGCCGAAA